AAACAAACATTTTGTTTTTTCTTTTTTTTTTTTAAATTTATTTATTTATTCAAATTAGGAGAGGTTTTCCTCAATTTCTCTCAATTCAAATATATTATTAATTATATCTAAAATAATTTCTTATATTTGGACCTACTTTTAATTTTATTCTTAATTAATCCTGCAAATTTGAACAAAACAACAATATTGCAAGTACGATATTTTATATTGATGCTTGTCAATTCATGAGTGACTTTTTAACAGAAATAAGTGAATTATGAAATGTCCATGATATGGAATATTTAATTCAAATTTTGGGTTCAACATAACTTACAACACTTATCAGTTTAACCATTAAAATATGTTGTTTTAAGTTTTTTCGCTTTTAATTTAAATTTGAAAATAATAACTTCTTAATAAATGTATTGTGGGATGTGTTAAACTAAAAGGTATACCAATTATATATTATCCTAAAAGTAAAAATAAGTCTAGATTACTTTCAACCTCAAATTGTGTTAGTTTAAAGTTTTGTTTGATAACACTTTTTAGTATTTTCAATTTTAATTTTTATGTTTTTTTATTATTCTAAAAACATATAAAATACTAATTAAAATAAATATTAAATATATTTTATATATTGTTAAGATGTTAAAAAACTAAAAAATTAACAACTATAGTTACAGTCTAACACTCCCAAAGCCAAAAATTTCCGAACTCAAGTTTGGCACAATTATGAAATTAAAAATTGGACCGAGATCAACGTCTAATTACATCGATAACTGGAAGAGCTTAATTAGCACAAAACAATTCATTGGGTTCATTTTCTCATCATGAACAAAGTTTAAGGGCTTCCACTGTATTTTCTCAGTTATATTTTGAATTTCAAGGCCGAAGCAAAGAGTAAATGTGCAAAAAAAGATGTTAAATTTACAATTTTTTTTATTTAAAGATGTTAATTTTATCAATTTTTAAATAAAGATGTTAACTTTCAACATTTTTCATTTAAAGTTATTAACTTTTTAACTTTTTCTATTTAAGGATTCCAAATTTAAACTTTTTCTATTTAATGATTAATTGGATAATTATGCTAATGTGACAAATGAATTTTTTAATTGAAATATTGAAAGTTAGCATCCTCAAATAGAAAAAAAATTGAAAATTGACATCCTTTTTTGCACCTTTACTCTCGAAGCAAATATCACACAGAACAAATGTCATTTTAGGGAATATTTTAAAATGAATAATGATAAATACAATTTAAATTTAAATTTAATGATGTAATATAAATTATATTATTTAAAATATTAAAAGATAAAAAATTATTATTTTTAAATTTAAATTAAAAATGAAAAATATATATATATAGGGTGTGAATCATATAAAGCAACCTAAGTCCGTAATTTAAGAAAAAAAAATCTCTGATACCATATAATTTTTCCTTAGAAACACTATAAATTCCGTCAAATTTTTATTCTATCTTCTACAATACAAACACTTCAAAAAACTAAAATTTCTCATGGAGATTGTGTCCCCAAGAACATTTGTTATGTTGATGTTTGTGATATGCATTCTAGTGCTAGTTTTACCACTGGCACTTGCAGAAGAAACG